TGTAAAATTATTTAGAACTAGCCAATTTCACGCGGTTTCACCCGCTTCTCGGCTTCTATTAATTGTAGCGTGATGTTTTATAGCCTATGTCGATTTCCATACCTTCAACCATCTTCACTTAAAAAATCACGTCAATTCGTCACCCCGTTTTGCCGTAAAAGACGGACAAACAAACAGATACTTGCGCTTTCCTATTTATAATATTAGTACGGATACAGATGTTAGAAAATCACACCCAGAACACCAGAAGTGTAACAAGTGCATTACCATTTATGAATTAGAAAGAGGATTGTTGGGGATTTAGGGATTGCGGAGATTGGGGCAGGGGGGAGGGTAATTCGGCCTCCTGTAACCTCACTCACACGACGAAGCAAGACAGAAAACTTTTTCTGTGAAGCCGTGGTATCACTCGAGTCCGCTCATTATTCATGCCAAAATATGGCTCGTCCGCACTTCCAAATACTCTTTTTAATTAAAAAAATCTAGACATTATACAAACAAAGTGTATATTTACCACAAACTATAAATTAACTTTATACCCCCAATTAAACCAGGTAACCGAACATGAAGTCAGAAATAAAAGTAATTTATTTGTTCCACCATTAATCTAAATGAAAGTAAATCTTATTTTAGAATGAAAGTCGTAAAGCATGTCAATTCGTTATCATTGCACTCACATGAAGCTATACAGAACCAGGTTATCTTGATCTCGCTTTGTATAATCTTTCCCGACATTAAACGTTCAGTTTATACTGGTTTTCCATAGTTTGATGGTAGCTGTGTGTACAAATCGTAAAAGTCAGATCCGAGGTGCGTGTATTAATTTATTCTGGTTATTACATGGGCTGTTTGGAAAATAAGGCTTTGTGTAGATCCAATGGAGGAGGTCAGAGAAGTTTCCGAAGGCCAAATTATCCCCTCCTCAATCTTCTCAAACCCTAACAATCCTCAAATTCCTAACCCCAATAGGCCGGCGACGCACTTGTAACGCCTCTGGTGTCCATGGGCGGAGCCGATTGCTTACCATCAGGTGGTCAATCTAGTTAAGGCTAGTATCCGGCTTAACCTGTAAAAAATGTAATCGACGAAGAAGACTTTAATCAGTGTATTGTTCGAATGTCTCTGTAACATCAGGAAACCTGGGTTTATAATTTCTAATTGTAATTGTTGTAATCGCCAACCCGCATTGAGCAAGCGTGGTGATTAATGCTCAAATCTTCTCCGAGGCTTTGCTCAGCAGTGGGCATTTATAGGCTGTTGATGATGATGATGATGAGTTGGATTGAAGATCGTAGTTTAATACCTTGAGTGCCATGGGAGACAACATGCCACGATAACGGAGGATTTGTCCTATACAGTTTTCTATTGGCAGTCAATAATAATAATATAATAATAATAATTAAATCTTTAT